TCTCACAACTGCCCAACTGACCGTACTAGTTTGTGCAGTGGATAAAATCAAAACCAAACAACGGCAAGCGCGAAATTAAAAATATAAAAATAAGACGAAGACTATTATTATTTATTTAAATCCGTTATTCGTTGTAAAGATAATTAATTGTAATGAAAAACAGCACCACTCAGGCTAAAATTCAAAGTAACGTTGAACACAAAGATTAAATGCGTAAAAAGGAACTCTTTCTTTGTTATTAAATAACGACATTTCTATTTACCTTTTTGCATGGGATAATTGTATTTCTTATATTAGGTGTCGCTAATATGGATGATTTACATGGTCTTTTTATTTCATTCTTTATACAGCCGTTAAAATATTATATATTGATATTCGAGAAATGTTACTGGTTATAGGAATTTTTCAGTGGTAATGATATGATATATATTAAGCTTACAATAAATAGTAAGAAGACCTTTAGTCCATTCACGAGAAGCTTACCCGGTCCATCAGTTTCTAATATATATATATATATATATATATATATATATATATATATATATTTAGTGTATATTTAGCAGCAATTTTTCATTAATGCTTGTTTCATTAAATAATATAGACAAGTTTTTTCTATTTATTTTAAGTAAGTTCCTTTCATATTGTCTGATAAGCTTAATCACATTATCGTTGAAAGACGAAAGGAAAACATCATATTGATACATGTTTAAATCCAATCTAAGTTTTCGGCTTACATAAGCCATTATCAAAAATGACAATTTCAATAAATCAAACATCACACTGACGAAACAACAATGATAGTCCGCCCTTGCTGCATGAAAAATTTCCAAGTAATGACAAACTCGTATATACGAGACGCGGAAGCGAAAATCGCGTCGCAGCTCGTCACACATGACCACGCGAGAGTGAAAAACGAGAAATATTATGGGAAGCCGTTGGTATAAACCAATGGCTTCTGCTATAAATTATAGGCATTCAAGGATATTTGTTGAGATTTCATAGTTTATTTTGTTCAGGTTAGGTTTCAACTATTTTATGTATAAAGCTTCAAGGATTTTTAATTTTTGTCTATTGTTTTCATGTTTAAGTATAAACTGTGTTGTCAACAAGGATTTTCCGGAATTGAGAACGCGGGCAGGCATATTGTTTTAAATGTCTAAAAATGTGTTATCATTTAAATGTAGAGTCAAGCGCCGTGAAAGCGAATTTATGGTGTGACCAACATAAATATTATTTAATCCGTTGGAGATACAAAGGACTCTTGAATTTGCAAACTATATTGGTTTTCTGTAAATTACTAACGGGGAAGGGGGGAAGAATCATTGCGAATAGTTAAATTGGATATACTAGATTTAATGTAGTATATGATTAACCTAATTTTTTTTTTTTTTTTTGCTAGGATCTGCTGTAAATATATTAGTATTTACTAATTTTTTAAGTATATTTTCATCTTGTTTATAATTAGTATGCATTTGACTACGATAAAAGAGATTAATATGTTTGGAATTAGTTGAAGCAGTATTATGTTCTATTTGCATAGTATTAAGACTTCTAAAAAAGTATTTTATTTGTTCATCAACTATATAGTTTGGAAAGCTATTATTAATAAGTGTTTGTTTTATATTCTTTAGTTCACTTTAAAAAATCTGTTTTGTAGATGAATTAGTTTTTGCACGCTGTATTAGATCTTTTATAATTGCTGTTTTGTAGTAATATGAACATTCGCTTTTGTAGTTTAAAAGCAAAACTGTTTGTAGTTTAAGTGTACATGAATTTATGCTGGTAGGTTTTTTGTATGGCGAAATATTAAATTTGTTATTATCTGTGTTTATCAATATGTCAAGGAAGGGAATTTTATTAGTAGTATTGAGTTCATATGTGAATTTAAGGACAAATAAAATTAGGGACCTCCAAAAAAATGAGGTACCTAAAGCTTAAAAATAATTTAAAAAAATCTTTCTTGAAGCTTTTATTTTAGTTTTGATTTCACGTTAATAGAATTTATTTAATATTTCCAACAATTCTTTGCTATATTTCAAAAACTTTATTTAAATTGACTAGATATTTCGCCTTTAATTTTGCTATGGTTATTTTCATGTTTTCTGATAATGTATTATATGGTCAGCCGCACTTTAAAAATCGGCACGTTTATACACATGCAAAAACAATTAAAAATTCTTATAAAAATATTGGTGTTTGATAATTTTTATTAAACTTTTCCATTATTGATTAGTAAGTATAGTTTTCACTTAATAATATCATCTAAAATTCTGAAATTAATACCAAATTTTAGATTTAAAACTTATTTTTTTCTAATTAAATTTTTTTTAAAAATGAATACAAAAAATATCATGATTCATCGAAAAATTTTTTATTCTTAAGAGAATAGTATCCTTAATATATATCATTTATGAAGATAATTAAAAGTCTTTCTAATTAAATAATGTCATAATTTTATTACATTTTTATTTTACGATTTAGTGCATATTTACTGTAAATATTGTTTCTGTTTGACAAAAACAGATTGAGGATTTAAATTTTCCAAACAGTTTTGCTCTTAACTAATCTAAATATCATGAGGTTAGGATTTTAATTTCTTGAAATTTCATAAATTAAGTGAAGGTAACAAATATAAAAAAAAACAATATTTTACCAGGATTTTCTAAAAAATAAAATTTAAAAAAATAATTTATTTGTGAATAAGTCCTGAAAATTTCATTAAAATCTGACAATTATTTGATTTTGGCAAGAATTTAAAAAATAATGTGTTTTTTGCCGTAAAAAACGATAAATTTCCTTTTTTTCCCACCCGCTGATGCAAGAAAAACAACATATTTAACCAAAAATTAGAACGTACTAGACGGGATTAAAATATTTAATAAAATAACCAAGGTATACTTTGGTCTTTCCTCTTAATAATAGCATAAACATTTTCACAATAAAACCTTGATTTTATCTACTTTGGGGCCCTTTTTCATCCAGATATGCTATTTTTTAGAAAGTTCTTGGAGGTACATAAATAAAGGAAAAAGTTTGTCTGCTTGTTTGTTAGCTATAGAAATCTATATAACAAGATTTATGATCTCTTTCTTAGCTTCATCATAGTAAAGAACATTGTCTGAGGTAGCTAATGAGACAATTGACACTTTCAGAGAGACGCTGTGGTAGGGGAAGATAGAGAAAGGTACGCACATCACTGTTTTAAAATTCGTTAGTGTAAGCTTTTTTTCATGGAATCAAACAATACTGATTTGTATTTTCTCTAGTATTTAATGACAAAAATTTACAGTGCATACTTATTGAGTTAAATTTCTAATAAACAGTAATGTTTTAAAATGTGTGCTTTTTTTAAATACAAAACCGTTGGAGCAGAATGGCGTAGTGGTTATACATAAAAGCGAAGAAGTAATTTTTCCGAGTTTTAACTCAGGCTCGCATCGAAAAAAAAAACAGTCACTTTTTATGTTATGTACTCATAAATTTGTAGACTTTAATCCGCCTAGGAATCAGTCAATAAGAATTGTGCTTTTAGTGTTTATTGGAGAGTTCTATTTACAATTTACATGTAAACACGTTCATGGGAAAAATGTGCGTTTGGACATAGTATCTTCCCGGTGTGTTCAAACCCGATTTGGTTGCACTCTGCCTTGAATTTAGTTTTAAACATTTAGAGACGCAAGCAAGGTTGTTTAGACTTGGTAATATGCAATAAGAATTAATCAATGCGCTCAGTTTTATTGTTATATTTTATTTTGAACAAATTAAATTTTTAAATAAATTAAAAAAAAAAGCCATAACTAGACGTATTATCAGTGAAAATAAAAATACAATATTTTCAAAAAGTTTAAATAAAAGCAACAAATCAATCTCAGTTGGATGAATTGGCTGTTGACTGACTTGATATTTTGTTTTTATGTTTTCGTATATCGCTCATTATTTGGTAATTTAAAATCCATTGTGTTGCTGAAATTAAATTCAGGTTTAAAGACATTGTATTTTCCAATCGATTTTGTTTAATATTTTACAGCTTAGTTCAAATTTATATATGTTTTTACTTTAAATTAAAACTAAAACGTATTAAGCTACTTCATCTCATATTTTTTAAAATCTATCCGACTTATATTTCAAATTTATCAAATACTGAGTTAACATCTTAGCACGGCTGATATTCCATATCGTTTAATCACTCTATTCTATCATTCTGTCTAATAAGATGTTGATCCACTATGTAGTCACAAAACAGCGAGCACTAATTCCGCAAGAACTCTTAAGATATTTCCCGGGATTTGGTGTCAGAAGTTTAAGAACAATTCATAAATGCTGCAAGTTATCTGGTGGACATTTTTATAGCTAACATTTAAATTCCAACATACGCCATAATTGCTCAATGCGATTAAAATCTGATGAGAATGTTTGTGAGCAGAGCAAAGAAGACATCTTCAATTTGAAATCATTACCAATAAACCCCGTACAAATGCCACTGTCATCGCCAAAAGCTTGATATGAAGGGATGTGTCGTGTCTTCAAAAATGACAAGATAGGGCTCATTGTTTTCTAGCAGAACATTGTCCACACCATCCAAAAACATCCACAAAATTTATGCTTTTCCCACAGTGCAACTTGGTGCCACTGCGTCCTCAGGATAACAGTGTACACATAACCAGCCTTCCAATTCATTACGGGTAAAGTGGACCTCTTTTATTGATACAAGATACAATTCTCACGAATGCGTGAAGATTGAAGACGCTTTCGCCTATGAACATTGGTTTGTTTGGCTACTCTAGCTGGTCAACAACTATGTAGTTTATATGCAAAATGAATCGTTATACTGTGTTGTAACATGTTACTTCTTTCAACTGTATCTCTAATTTATGCCATAGTTAACCTCTGTTTACATTTCCATGTTAAAGAAATACCCATTCATTTCCTTGATCAATAAGTTTTAATTGTATAATGTTTTCTTGATGGATTGTAATTTTTCTCTTTCCGGTCAACTGCAGATCATCTTCCTTTCTCAAGACCGAACCGATCGTATAGGAAACATGAGCGACAATGATGCAGCCAGCTACCAACCAAAAAGTTATGATATCCCGTAAATAAACTGACTTCGTCTTCGGGCCATAGCAGTTAGGGAAAATCATTCAAATATTCATTTTGATCCATGATTGCAATATTCAACAGATTAAAAAGAGGAAATCGATGCCAGATTACCCAAGTGGATCAGCTGTTACCAGAAGGTTGGTATATTATTGGCATATGTTACTACTCATAATTTTAATGTATATGAAAATCAAAAGAATATTAATAATTATACAGCTAATCATCCTGGAAGCATCAGACTTCAGTCATCACGTTTATATAGAATATCGCATAATCTAAAATGTTATTACATTATGTCATAATTCTTTATGCAAGTGAATGTTTTCAAAATAAAATTGGTATTCAGCAACCAATGCCCATACAAATTATCGGCATATATATTTATATGAGTAATATATCATATTTATATCAGCTTATAATATTTATCCTTATTTTTTTTAATATCGAGAGTAACTGTTTTGTGAAGGTTTTTATTGTGCAACACTTTTCTCCATACTCGTAAATATCCAATAATCTGAAGTTGAATGGATACCTGCTAGAGTTTGCGGGCTCTTTCATTTTATCAAACACTGTAGGATGTTGCATATGTTCTTCAGATATCATTCAATTTTTCTTTCCAAGAGTAAGTACTAAATTGACTTCTGATAAATGAAAAATATCTATAGAGGATTTTCGACAATATAATTATGTTCAACTATTCGGATGGAAAAAAGATCCTGTCATATTTGAAGGTGGAAAAGAAACAAATGCTCCAGATTTCGAGGCAAGGGAATATTCAATAACTGTTTTAAAATTTTCACGATTAATAAACTCTTTTACATCTAAAATATTGCAGTGATCTAAAAAAGATAATAGTCAGATGGTGCATGATCAGGAGAGTAAGGAGGATGAGGAAAATCTTCCGTATTTTCTTATTGGCACAGGCAATATGGGAGTTTGCATATCTTGCAAATCGCCAACGATTAACACACCTTTCCGATTAACAAATGCAAGCCTCTTTTTACTGTAATATTTGTGCATTGCTTCCATCTAATGTCAATACATCTCCGCATTAACTGTTTCGTATTGGTTGGGCACTTCCCCATAGACTACACCCTTAATATCCCACCAAACACAGAGCATAAGTTTTTGTAATTGTTGGACTGATTTGTGGATAGATTTTCCATTTTCTGTGAGTGCTAACCATTATCGTTTTCATTGTATATGTTTAAAACAAAGAAAACAAACATTTCATTACAGGTGATGATTCTACCCAGGAAAGAATCTAAATTAAATCCCCTCTTTAACAACGAAAGCAACACTTTGATTAAACTGAGACGCAGTAAGATAATGCGAGATTCACTAACTTGATGCACTTTTCAGAGTAAAATAAATAAATATATATATATATATATATATATATATATATATATATATATATATATATGACGTGAATACAGGAATCAAGCGGTTTCAGTCGCAGTTCGAATTCTGTATGCAGGCAGACTAGTGAATAGCGGTCGTTTGATTATGATGACCCTCCCAGACAAATAAATATACCATTCGAGGGTAATCTGAGTGATCAATAAGCATTTAATTGGAACCGTGCTACGTGATACACGTGATGAGAAGATAAGAAATAACGGATTAAATAATTTCTTTTTCTCATTCACCTTTTCTAGTTTACTACAGGCAACTAGCATCATTTAAAAGCGGCAGCACAATAAATTTCAAATCGAACCAAACTACTTTTCTGGCTCACGAGAACATTGCAAGACAAAAACAAAGAATCTAAACCATAAGGGTTTTCTGCTCTAATACCACGAATTTTAAAAACTGGATATTGATATCAATGATATCAGAGATGTCCGTTTCCGAGACAAATGCAACTTTTTAGACTATACTTTTTTATCCATCAACCTGCACTATATTACAAAGACCACCTTTAATTTCTTTCATCCAACAATGCTGAGGCTGGTTTAGTACTTCACTTAACTAGACGGCATTCTATCATACTAGAATTACAGTGGACACAGAATTATGCAACAGAGACGCTTAAAAATAACCAAACTTTTGGTAGACTAAACAAATCTATCTGATACACTGGAAACTTTACGAAAGACATGGACACCAGAATCTACAAAGCGACCCATTCTATATACTAATCAGTGAAATTTACTATCGTATGAATTTGGTATTTTATCAAAAACTATAAGAATTCAACTAATAAAATATTGCTGGAACAAACTATTCTCACAGAAAAAAAAACATGGAGAGCCTAAAAGACTGCAAATACAAGATTTTCAATAAAGACTCTAGTTTTCTTGTGAATCCCAACATTACAAATCTACCAGAAATAGCATACTAACAGACTGAATACTCAAGTTGTCGGCTCAACTCATATACTCTGACTTTATGCTCTAAATAGTTGAAAATTTGAACTATCCGATCAATTAAAACGGCACCAGTCATCAACGGCTCAGTATCATTGCTCTCTGGTTCAAGTGAGGCGCAGAAACCAATGCCATGGTCTCAATTATGGTGCCCCTGTCTGTCAACGTCTGAGATACCCCAGGGAATGCAATATATATCGTTGAAGGTATACTGTAAAATACGTTGATGGATTGATCTTCATCAGCGTTGTATCTGAATGTGATTTGATGCGACGTTTCTGTTTTTTGTATAGTTATCATTCAGAACCACAATGTATATGCAAATAGTACGACACTCTCAAAGCAAATATGAAAACTTAGACAGACCAATATGAGTCTAAAATGGAAATAAGGAAAAGAGCATTAGCTTAAAACAGCATTCGAGAACAAGGTAAAATTGCCTAGAGGAGAACATGATAATAATCACCTTTCCTAAACTTTATAAAAACCAAAACAAAAGATTAGAATAGATTTCCTAATGCAAGATCAAAAAACAAATTCCTACTACGCTGCTTAGAACCACGTCAAAACTAAACAAACAATAATATTTTTTAATCTGTATCACCCCATACAAAGCAGTAAAACCACTAAACCACAAGAGGTTACAGATTGTGAAAGAATTAGGAACAGAAACATTAATAATAAGTGGAAAGAGAAAAGAGTAATCAGGAAGACAGTAGGTAACGATTGACACTGCACTTAAATTTTTGCAGATTAAAATTGGCTGGAAAGCATAGAGATTGAAGGGAATTCCACAAACGAGAAGTGCTAGAAAAGAATCTGTTAGCATAGAACTTACGGCTCTATCCAGATGGCTCACCTATCATTTGATGAGATCTCGACGCCATTTTAGTACTGCGCTTAAATTCATGAAGTGTAAGTGCCATAATGAAAAGCTCATCCGAACAATTACCATGAAAATATTTATAGAAAAGGCACACAGAGAGGCAAACTTACAGCAGTGGAAAAGTTACTGAAGGCGAATCGCCAGATCAGGACCAATAATATTGCTGATTCTTCTTTGGATCTTATCAAGGAGCTCTAGATAAATAGCATGAGCACTGGACCATATATGGCAACAATATTTTAAGCATGGACGAATGGTAAACTTATAGGTAAGTAAAATAGATTCTGGAGAGAAAAATTATCTCGCACGACAGAGTGAATCGAATTTCTTGGCAGCTGACCTAACAATAGATTAAATATAGTCTTTTCACTTCATGTCAGCTGAGAACGTTAGCTCGATAAGGCGCAAGGAGTCACTTTCCTGGGGGTTAATAAAACAAGAATAAATAAATGAAAGTCACTTATACGAATACTTATATGAATACAATAAAACCAGTTTCTCATTTTATATTCACTTTGACCTATATATAAAATCTAGATAAAGAGAAGAAACACATAGTCTGATACCCACATTTGCGAAAATGAATCAGCATATTGTGTTGACATCTACGTCCACATTATATATATATATATATATATATATATATATATATATATATATATATATATATCGTTAATGTGTTGCATACATTTTGGTTTTATGTGTAGTAAATATCCTAAAGGGTCTATAATTTGGGCCAAATACAAGATATATACATAGAAAATTGGCGCAACACTATCTTCTTCACCGACATATAGATTGGTGTAATACTAAGCTTAGTCAGTATTATATATTCATATTATTTTGGCGCGAGATCACAGTATTTAAAGATATCTAAAAAAAATGGAACAAGGCACAATTGCAAACAGGTCTACAAAATTAGATTCCCCAATTTTTCTATAAGACAAATAAAAGAAGGGTTAATTTATATATTTCAACAAGATATTGTAACAGACTGATATAGTTAACAGACTGAGTCTCAATCGAAATTCGAACTGCTGTCATTACCGCCTCTCTTTTCTGTACTCATCATATGGCCACTGACTTTCAATGTTGCGATGCTCACGTGGTCAATATTTTCCTCTGCTCTCCGATATTTATGAATTACGTTTATTTTTCTTACAACTCAAATGCATTTATTGGCAACATATGGGATAATTCGTCACAACGCGTTATTAGCGAAGGAAAATAATTCAAACCTACATTGCTTACGTAAGTGTATATAAGCAGTTGGAAAACAACCATCCAAAACAAACAGCGACTGAGAATGTTTTCAGAATGAAATATGATGAAATTATTGAAGATGTTGGCGGTTGTGGATTATATCAAAAGCTTATTCTGACATTACTATATGCTGTACCAGTGTTTGATGGCCTACAGATAGGTAGTTTAGTGTTTATCGTACCAGAAATGCATCACAGGTAAGCGATAATTTGCTTTTACATACACGTATGATACCTTCTTAAAAACATTATTTTTTTTTTATTTACACATAGTAGTAAAATTACAAAACACCACTGACTATGAAAACATTTCTTGCAAAGAATTTGTTTTGAGTATTTGTACACAAAGGACAGAACATGAGTCATAATTATAAATTTAAAAGATATACTTAAAAAATAAATACATTCGTGTTAACTGCTCATATAATACTTCCGTTACTTCAGCGGGATTTCTTCCTTTATAAATAACAGAAAACCGATGAACAAGTACTAATATTTGTATAGTTTTAGTGCAGAAAGCTGCTGATGCTGATAAATTGAAAATATATGCTTAAAGCGAATAGAATATTGGATATGAATTTCTGAAAACACTAGGAAGATGCTATATATACTATAGATATTTACTAAGTTTAGCTTCTTATGATAAAAGGCCAGTATGTTATGTAGAGGAATAAGGGGAACAGGAAATTAGTGTTTTATTAATTTTGCAAGATGGAAGTTTGTGCCTACCTTGAAATCTTCATGTTTACATTGAACTCGAACAACGACCGCAAATAAATACTCTATTATTTCGACTAGCAAACAGAAACTTAAGTTCAGTTAGAAAATGATATTTAATTTTTCGTCGATTTTTGTGTTTCTGTTATTATTTTGTTAAACAATCGATTGTCGAGAAAAATTTAGAAAGTTTGTTTTTTTAGTTATATCGTTTCTTATATTTAAGAAAACTGATGAGTGAACATTGTGTCATGCTAAATTTGTACGTTGTCAGAAATGCTGAATTAATGAAGGTTCTACAAAGTAGACAATAATTACTCTGTTGGTTACCCCATTTGGCTATGCCAAAAGCAATTGTTAGATGGTAAGCTTTAAGCCTATAAATACGCAATGATTTTCTCACGTACCCTATCTTTTGGGGTTTATTTAATTCTGGCTTACAGATGTCACACGTTGATAGGAACGCTACCTACAAAGTCCGTTCGCTTCCTTTGTCCTCCTTTGACTTTCGTACTCTCTCGCACACGCATATGCACGCGCGTGTCTATCACACACGCTTGTTGCACACACACATACAAGTACATTCTTGTTATAACTTGTTTTAATGTTTTTTCCTTTCGTTGAAATTGTCTACACCTGTAAATCCTTTTGTTAATACATGCATTGTAATTTGTTTTTGTATTCATTGTTTTATGTTACTCATTTTTAACAGGACTCACATTGATCCTACCGATATTGTTTGTGAGATAAATGTTTCAGGAGTTTGTAAATATTTACTATCAAAAGTCTTGATTCCCGCAACATAATGTTGACTAATATTTACCCCAAAAGAATAGCATTATTATATGAAGGCTATCATGACATTTTTATGTTCATCTTTTGTTGTTGTTTTTTTTTGTTTGTTTGTTGTTTTTTTTTGTTTTTTGTTTTTTTTTTTCGTTTTTTTTTTTTGTTTTTGTGGGGAGGTATTAAAAGACGAAAGAGCCGAACACATACACAAAATAGGCAGGGCAGCGAGGTTTCGATGAAATCAAGAAACAGTTCTTAATACTGAAATTTCAATTACGTAGCAAAATTATCTTAAATTTATTAAATTCATAAATATCCACAGAAAACTGATGTCGTTCGAGGTATTCATTTTTCTGTTTGCAATATATATATATATATATATATATATATATATATATATATATTATAATTTTTCAAACAAAAAAGATTTACACACTACAAAGATGAAACTTCGTTTCAGCGCATTTAGTTGCACCTCGACTGGTGAGAACCAAAATGGTTATCTAGTGGTTAGATAAGCATTTTGGTTATCTAGTGGTTAGATAAGCATTTTGGTTATCTAGTGGTTAGATAAACATTTTGGTTATCTAATGGTTAGTTAACTCTTGTGGCCTGTTAGGCCAGAAAGAAAGACACGGAAAGAAGAAGTTAGGTTGAGCAAGTGTATTGAAATAACAGAACATATATACAAAATAAGAGTGTTATTAGTCAGCAGATAGAAGTATCCGTCCAAAATATCACGTTACACTGTGTGCCGACTGCTTCACACTAGTCTCGCAAGTTAGTATTTATGAAGAAGGAAGAGTTCATTCTACTGTAGATAAGTTGCCATAACAATAACCATTTTGGTTCTAGTGGTTAGATAACCAAAATGGTTATCTAATGGTTAATATAAAAACAAAAATGCAACATTTAATAATATCAACTATGAACATGGACACAATATCCTGACTGTGTTTTAAAAATGAAAACATTATATAAACACATATATACAACATTCTACTTCTTGTTAACAATATATTTCAAACTTGAAAATGACTAAATGTATAGCCAAAAGCGCTGGAAAAACAGAATAATTGGACAGTTTTTACATAATTTATCATCCGAAAAGAAAACAATGATATGATCACATGAGAAATTGTATAAAAAACTAAATTCAATGAAATACACACACACACACACACATATATATATATATATATATATATATATATATATATATATATATATATATATGACAAAGCAGGGTAAGTCATTTTAAAACAAGTTTACTTACTTTCACGACGAAAATGTTAAAGTGCTTCATGCCACACATAGTGAGTGTACTAAATTTTATAAACTAAATTCCAGCAAAGCAACAACCGACCAGGTATGTCAGTTACATGCGCAGCATGCAATCTTCAGGCGGTCGGTGTCTGTGATCCAAAACTTTAACCACCCAGCGAGTTCTTCCAATCTTAAACTCGCCTATTGATAAGTGTGCCTATTTTCGATCGCAGATGCCGACACCCCGAAGATTGCGCCCAACGCATGAACCTGACAGTCGAGATCCATTTTACCATACTTTACCATAATATAGTTAATATATATATATATATATATATATATATATATATATATATATATTGCCGAAACGAATACTTGACACATCATAAAATCTTTCGTAAAATTTTTTATCATTGCAAATTCATTATCTACAAAAGGGAATAAAATTTCATAATCTAAAAAAAAAAACTTTTATAAAAATTCTCTACAAATCAAAATATTTATTGGAACCTCATAAAAAATCGATTAAATCTATTAGGACTGACTAAAAACAGTATCTTATTCTTATTTATGATATATATATATATATATATATATATATATATATTAATGATACAATATGGTAATCCGTATTGAATTTTCAGGAGGATATAGATCAATTCAAAGCTCCATGTCAAAAGACAGAAAAATTATTATTAATTAAAGATCAGACACTTAAAATCCCATAGGTAATAATGTTTTATTTCATGAGAGCTCTAAAAAAAGCACCGCTCAATCTACAAGACCTACAAATAAATCACAAATGAGATTGAAAAAATATTCCACGTTAAAATCAAGAGATATTGCTATTTTATTTAGAGAATGGGAAAAGACGGAGAGTGTTGGCCTATTTTTATATACTGAGAGCCTGAATGAACTTTATTTCAATCCTTCATGAACTTCCTATCATCAGCTATGATTAATGATAAACGTGTGATTTTCGTTTATCATCAATTTCATCACGATTCCTCTGTTAAGCTTGAAGAGTAATTGTACATTCTTATTGCTCAAAGTAGAGTCCAATAGTGTTATAAAAATCCAGGAGAATTCTAGTAAAATATCTTTAATTGTTTCTAAGATACAACGGCTCAAACCATAATCTAACAATTGGACAATTTCTCTGTTACACAATTTGGTTAATTTTGTTTTACATTATATATATATATATATATATATATATATATATATATATATATATATATATATATATATATATAAAGAAAGAACAGTAAGATATATACTCCGGTGTTCTTATAGATATTTTTTATTTTTACAAAATAGTGCTCAATGTAAATTTACAGAGCATTAATATTATAAATTAATTGATTTAAAATATAGCGGAAAAAAACCATTAATTGATTTAAAATATAGCGAAAAAAACATATTTTAAATCAATTAATTTATAATATATATATATATATATATATATATATATATATATATATATATATATTGATGTTTTATGTTACGTCAGGTAGGTATATTTTCTACCGTGTAAACAATTAAGTATTTCAAGATAGACTGTATCACATGAAACAGCTGATTACTGTATTTTAAATTATAATTTTGAATTTAATTTTTTTTTAAATATTCGCTAACAGCGCTTTGTCGAGCATCAAAGATAATGTAACTGATTAATTATCGTAAAAACAAAAAATGGCACTTATTTTCAAAACAGATGCGCTATTCCTGATTTACCAAACGACACCTACGCAATCCAAGATACGGACCACGCCGATCTGGTCAAGGCTTATATTCCACAGCACATGGAAGATGGAGAGCGCAAATATAACAATTGTTATTTCTACAGCAATGAAACATTAGGCGGTAACGGAACGATGCATGCATGTAATTCTTGGGTTTATGACAAATCACAGTATCAGACATCAGTTACCAGTGACGTGAGTATCAATTCATTTTCTCTTTTTATTCATTACCAGTCTTCTTCTTGTATGTGCCGTGTCCCTTCAGGACGTGGGCGATCATAGTTCTCCATAATTTTCTGTCCTTCGTAGCTCGTGATAACTTTTGTCTTTTTGAGTTCTTTCCCAAGACCTGCTCCGCTATATATTCTCTCAAGCTCACCAGGTAGGTTCTACGTTGCTTTCTTCTATCTCGCTTACCTTGAAACTGTCCTGTGAGTATAAAATTTTCCAAGCACTCTTTCCTCATTATCTTCTCCAGAAATTTCAACTGTTTCTTCCTAATGTTAAGTATAAGTGTCACAGGGAACAAATTAAGTTTTACAACCATAATAGTGCAGAATAAAAAGTGTATGCCTATATTAAAAAATAAAATTTAACCTTCCACTCGTGGGATTTATGAAACAACTTCCACCAACAATCATGTGCTGAATAAATATTTGTTATCTTCAAAACCCTTATAGTGACTTATTAAGAATATCCCAAAACACTGTACAACCACAAGCTTAGAATACCAAGTGATCAATGAAGACACAACAACGTTCTCGTTCTAATCTCATTACTACAATACTTATAAGACTGGACAGTTTGGCATGATTTTAACTTTTGATAAAAAAAAATTGCTACCAGTATTGTACTGCATTAAAATAATAAGTGAAGAAAATGGACTTGCCTCAAAAATCAGTGAAAAAAGTGGTAATATTTTAAAATTTCAGTTAGCATATATATATATATATATATATATATATATATATATATATATATATATATATATATATAATATTATATGTTTCCTTCCATACGCATATATATATATATATATATATATATATATATATATATATATATATATGTTTCATATTACATCAGCACGGCATATTTTATATCGTGTAAGCAATGAAGTATTTCACGATACAAGGCGTACCACATTAATTTTATTTTAATACACAATTTCTATTTTAATTCCTTTTTTTTTTAAATGTTCGCTAACAAAGAAATTTCAACTGTCCCTTCCTAATGTTAAGTATAAGTGTCTTTTTTGTTTCCATTGTCTCTAGAACTTCGGTGCATGTTATTCTCAGCATCATTCTGTAAAACCATATTTCTGAAGAATACTTTCTACAGAATGAAATTTATCACTTTTCCTTTCTATCATATTTAATCTCAGTTCTTTTCCTTCATTTTGACTTTTGATCTTTTCTTGTTTTTTTATCGTTTTTTCTTTTCTCTCCTCTTTTAATCCTTATCCTTCTCTGTCGATTTTAATATTTGTTCCTTTCTATGCTTTTCATCTTTGGTTTTTCAACCGTATTTGACATCTGTTCATTTCTACCATATTTGACCACTGTGTGATACTAGTTGTCGTTGCCGCGGTAAAACGGAAGAAAGTTTCGTTAAAACATAAAAAAGTGTGATGTACTGAGAGACACTGAAACGAGAAGGGTTAATACCGAAAACCCGCGGGAAGAATTGAGGTTTTAATTCACACATAAACGACTTGAATTGTATGTCGAGCAGTTTGAACAATTGAAAAGGGACCCAGACTTAGGAGGCAGTGATAACTGACATGAGTTCTACGCAGCTGAAAATGCAAGCTGTAAAGCGAAAATTTCAATTTTTGTAAACAACGAATTTGGAGTTGATTCCCCTGGTCGAAAGTTGGAATACCAGGCGCGGGTGAATAAGCCACCCACGCTCACTGAGGAGATTTAGTGAGAGGTAATAATATAAGGGGGTGGAAGAAGGGAATTCCCCAGAATTATCGCATTCTCTTACTTCGCCTAATTGAGCGAATGTCCATAAATACGAATGCACGAAGCGAATTAGGCAGAGAGGAGAAGAAGAGCAGAAGAGACGGAGACTAGACCAGAGACAGGAGAGAGATCCACGTGATTACCTGCCGGCGAAAGCCTCCGACTTCAGCTCAATACCAATCTTTACCAATAACAGCAACCCAGATTTTGCCAAGTCAACAACAATATCATTTCCGATTTAGATGCAAGTTGGGCCGATAATTAATTGCATGCTAACTATGATATAAACCAATTATTGTACAGAGGACTGAAATAAAAACAGTATTTACTTTTGTTCAATTCATTCGAGTGTTATTTTTTTCTGTACGTCATTGTCTTGCTTGAACCAGCCCAAAACAAAGATACCTGCACGATTCGATCTTGGCTGCCTTATGATCAAACTTAAATCACTATGTGGGATAAGGTTAGCTCTGGATTGAAGCGGTCACTTCAGCGACCAGACGAGGCGTTGGAAGCCTTGGACGACCAGAGAGGGTCTTGTACGTTTAAAATTGTACATTTTTAGCCGATTTGAATTTTGTTAATTTTTTTTACCTTTATTCCTTTCTACCGTATTTGGCATTCTTTTCAAATGCTTCTGTTTCTTCGTTTATGAATATTCCCTCACTTGTAAGGTGTTCTAATGTCCGATACAAATGAGAATCTGTAGAGAATAATTCTTGTGAGTATGTCGGACTTAAAAGAACCCCCCTCATTACCATCTTCTTTTTTTGGGGGGGTTGTTTTGCAGATATTTTACTGTCATGCTGAAGAGTAACACAATTTTGCTTTACTAAAACAGGACAGTTTCGGCATAATGTTTCGTAGACCCGATTAAATTTCTAGCGTCTGTCGTGATGGCTCTTCATTGTTTCGATATCTCATCATGTACAACACTTTTCATATTCTATACCAACTGACACAAGGCAAGAAATTCTGTGGGTGGAAATCTTGTTTTTGTGTTGGTGCTTGTTGCTCAGTCTCTTATAAGCACTGTATTTCTCATTTTTCTCTTGATATTTAAAACCAATTTGTCATCACCTGTAACAATTTCAGGCGAAAATGAAAGTTTGGTATTCTTGGTTAAGAACTGTTGCAAATTGTGAAACATTACATTCGATTCTAAGGAGCAAATTCCTGAAGAAACCGAATTTCATCTTTGAAGGTTGTTTTTATTCTAAATCCATAGAAATCTTAGTGAATGGTTGGAGACACACTGAGTTTTTTAGTCAAATCTCTAGTCTTGTGATGTTGGTTTAATAATCTCAGAGTTTCTTTATTCAGAATGTGTCATTTACTAGCATGAGATTTGTTGGGTATATCGCAGTCTGCCGTTTTAAATCTTTTAAGACACATGTACACGTCTTCACAGACCACAACTCATGTAGATCGAAAATTAAGCATTTAAAAATATTTAAAGTTCATGTTTTAAATAAAAGAAGATAGGTATCTAAATAAGTAATAATCTAAAAGAAAACAGGAACAAATAAGAATAATTCTCCAGAGAGATATTAGGAAAAACTAAAATCAAAATGCGAATATTTGAAGCGGGAATGGTCAAATGATCTCAAGGAAACGAAAGAAATAAAAATTTACTCTTCTAAATCAAGTCTTCATTTCATGTATCTGTTTTCTTTAAAAAACATAATAAACCAAAATCTTTCTTTAACTCGAATCCAAAACTTGTAGGCTGACTGACGATAATTGCCTAGACAGATTTCAATCAAACTATCTGTGAATTCATAGCTGTGCTTGTAGTATAACGGGAAGTAAAATTGGCGTGCCTGAGTTCAAATTTTAACCACGTGGGACGACAAGGGCTTTTCCTTACCTGACTTCCTCCACCTCACGAAGCACATGCTTTGTGATATAACTATCTCAACTCATTATGAAAACAGGATTCTTACAGAAAACATAAATGAACGCCAATATGAATACAACTTTGAAAATGAATCGGTAATTATAACTAGACTTTTATTTATACAAAGTGGCTCTAATAAATATGTACTGATATATTTTTAAAATTGTCTTTTAAACAGATGAACTTGGTATGCGATCGTGCAATTTTCACTAGTCATGTAAAGACCGTTTTTTTTGTCGGAGCATTTATCATGTTTTTGATTGGCGGATGGATTTCAGATAAGTAAGAGAAAACACTTTTTTATTTCATCTACATTTAATTTTACATTATTTTGAAATAACATATATGTTTATTGAAATTTAATGAACTAAAAATTGGAACAATGATATCGATTTATATGCATAAATGACAAAGAAGTAGCCTTCTGGAATTCGGATAGTATTAATCAATATTTGATAAAGTGCATCGTCTTAGAACAACTGAAAAATGTAACTTTTGCCCCGATGAAGAAATAGCGATAACCAGCATTCCATAGAAAAGTTAAACTTCAAAATGAAAGATACCAAATGAAGACACGAAAACAAATTTCTAATTAGCAAACTAAAAACCACTAAAGAAAGATTAAATAAAATGCCATAGATATATCTACCAAAGTTTATTCCAAATACTGAAATTTAGAACTGTTGTAACTATGCGTAATAGATGACGTATGAAAATAAATAAAATAAAACTTTCAAAATAATAAACAAATATAATAATTACATTTCCTGCTTCTAAATAACTCAATGCATTCGCCCTAAGGACAGGAACTTGGAAAGGCTGCTTTTGGCATTACTCTATGCCTCGTAACCCTAACTCAGTGGCCAGTATATAGAGTCCACAGAAGGAGTGGTAACATATGACATATAGTATGAAGATTTCCAAAATTTTAAAGAATGTCAAAATAATAAACCACCCAAGAGACGCGTTTCTAAGCCAGAAAGTACATCGCCGAATGCTTAATTTCGCTTCTTAGGTCAAAACGCGCCACTTAGTATATTTTTTCTATTTTGCTATTCGATTACCTACAATTAGCCTGATATATAGATTTCTATATCTTACCAACATGCACACGAACGCACACACACACATGCACACACACACACACACACACACACACACACACACACACACACACATATATATATATATATATATATATATATATATATAATAAATAGTTGAATGACAAAAGGGAAAAATAATTTTCCTAATATTGTTCTGATATAGAAATTCATATATCATATTCTCCCATATATAGTCAACGACGAAATTATTCGTACACCCATTAATTTTGAATATTCTTATCCATTTCTCAGAATCTAATGACCGTATGATAACAGATTTTTATATGTTAATAAGCACAAAAAAGGAATATGTTGAAACTTGACTAATGCATGGAATAATAATGCAACACAAAATGTACTTAGAACAAAATGTATTGAAACAAGAAAGTGTACACAATATTTACATATAGTCTTTTGTATATTCCTGGGAAGACCGTTCCTGGAGAATGTGTTGACTGAGTCGCAGTCGGGCAGAGTCTCTGGTTGAATCTCTTGATTCCTCCCTCTCTTCCCGGTACCAACCATATTTATATGGTCGGTACTCCACTATGCAAATTAGGTGGATCCTACCACAACAGAATATAAACTCAATTTTTAGAACAATGTTAAATACAACAACTTTGACAGACAAATTATGCAAAAAAAAGAGAAAATTATTCGTACAGTAGAACATATCGTTTTAAATTGATTGATTCGTCTAAGTACTTTACATAATTATTTTATCGATGAAGCTTTCTAGACTATTATTCAGTAGAATGTTTGTGATAATTCCAGCAAAGAACATCACGTGGTGCATACAGTGTCACCATTGTTATTCCTACGTTAACAACACGATGGGGAAGACAAAGGAGCTTAGTGTTGACTTGAGACAGAGAAATATTAACTTCCACAAGTCGGGAAATAGTTACAACACTATTTGAAACTGATTAGCTATCCCTATATTTAGAGTATAGTCCATTATAAAGAAGTTTAAACAGTTTGGCACGACAGAGAATTTGCCTCGGCGTGAAAGAAAACCCAAATTGTCACGGACAACTGCACGAAAAAATTGTCACGAGGTTAATAGAAACCTAACAGTTATTTTGAAACTTATGGCTAAAAGTTTGGATATGAAGGGTTTTAGCGTAGAATACAATCTTGTTTAAAAAGAAATGGGTTGTATGGAAACTGGCTACGACGAACCCATCTTCATATACCATGTCATATTGTTGCTCGGTTTAATTTTGCCAAAACGTTCTTGGACAAAGAGAATTGCTTTTGGGAACAAGTACTATGGAATGATGAAACAAAAATTAAGCTTTTTGGACATAATGGTGTACAGAAGATTTGGTGCAAGAAAAGTGGCAACATTAAAACATAGAGGCGGCTCGATGCCGTTTTGTGGTTGCTTTAGCTTAAATAAGACTGAGGCAATTAATTGTAATAAGAGGAATAATGAAATCTAAAGACTATATCAAACTTCAGGATGAAAATCTACGACTATCAGCTATCAAATCTTCATCTAGGTCGGTGATTTACTTTCTAACAAGATAATGATCCCAAACATACGTCTAAATTAATGACTTCGCGGCTTCAGAAAAAGAAAATTATAGTTCTGCCAGGATATTCAATTAGTCCTGACTTTAATCCTTTTGAAAATCTATGGCAAGAATTGAATGTTCGAATAAATCGACGGTCATCAAAAACTTCCAGAAATTAGAACATGTAACCATTGAAGAATGGAAGAAAATCCCTGAAAAGACTTGTACAAATCTCATCAAAAAATTTAGAAAACGTTTGCAGCAAGTTATAAAGATGAGAGGCCATGCTATTGACTATTAATATTGTGAAAATTGTTCAATTTTTTTCTATTTTTCATTTTGTGCGAATAGTTGTCTTTTCCTATTTTGCATAATTCACCTATCATATACGATACTTGGTATCATAGATTCTGAGAAATGAATTAAAATATTCAAAAATGATGGGTGTACTAATAATTTTGTCGCTGATGACTATTGTCATTGAATATATATATATATATATATATATGCCCTCCATCACATTCACGTGACACCATAAAACATTTATCAATCTTGGATATATTTAAAACACAAAAAAGTAATTATTACATATAAATAATTTTGTAAACATATTCAATGGTAATACTACAAGTCCTATAATTTAGCCTTGTGGTCCAAAATAGCTATTAGAATGAGGTAATTTTGGATTTCTATTTCATATAATTTATATGCTCTGTTATAATGAATACACTGAGCTCTTTTTGTGGATCAGTTTTAATATTTTACATTATTATGACTCACTTAGATTATATACCAACGGATTATTTCTATATATATATATATATATATATATATATATATATATATATATATATATAATGTATCTATGGGGGCATTCGACTCTGCCCAAATTGCAGATTTGCTGGGCATATATATTTTAGACGCGTTAAATAGAATAATTCACTGCAATCATGTTGGAATTTATGGAGATGATGGCTTAATCATTGTCCCTAAAAGCAATAGTCCCCTGACTTCCATCTTACATAAGAGGTTTATTAGAGCCTTCAAATACCTAGGCCTTAAGATTGACATATCTTAAAATAGTCAACTTTTTAAACATCACCCTCAAACCTCTCAAATGAGACTTTTAAGCCCCCCCCCATAAAGTTAATCTGACACCCTTATACATCAATATCCACTCTAACCAGTCGAAATCAGTTATAGATCATTTTCCCAAACCGTAAACACTAGAATAAATAGGCTATCTTCTCACCAGAAAATCTTTAATGAAAATAAGTTTACATACAAACTGGCTCTCAAGAATAGTGGTTTTAGACAAGAGTTAAACTATCGAGAGGTCCTGAAAAACCATAATGTTAATAGATCCAAAAACAGAAAAAGGAAAGTAATATAGTTTAACCTGCCATATTACAGGCTTTCCAACATTAACATAGGAAGTTTCTTCCTAAACTTAATAGACAAGCACTTTGATAGTATATAAAATTTTCAATAGGAAGACACTAAGAATTAGTTATTCATGTGTAAGTAATATGGAGAAAAATATATCTTTCCACAATTGTAAACTACTTAGAAAATTTTATAACAGTGAAGCTCTAGCTAATAACCTACCTGCAATTGTAGGAGTAGAGCTAACCGGGGGAAAATGTATGTATGTGAATGTAATATATGAAGCTACAATCCTCTCCAAAGAAAATATCAGCTTGTTTAAAAGATACATAGGTATATCTGCTGATAATTGGAAGCAGCGTCTGTACAACCATAGAAACTCTTTCAAATATTGATCCTCCTTCCTTATCTAAACACTAATGGGAATTGGTGGACAAGGGAATAACACCGTATTTGGAATGGAGATTCATATCAAGGGCTAGAACTGCTAGTAACTTCCGTGATCGATGTTATCTATGCATAGCGGAAAAAATTTTATAATTAAAGAGAAAAAATCAAGAAGAGTTGCTGCATCTTCAAAGTGAGATTATATCCAAATGTAGACATAAACAACGCTTTAAAACATAAACACGATTTTCTAACATATTGTTCCCTATAAAATATCGGACTTGAATTCCAAGCATCGGATATGACATTATAATGGATTAACATTTATTATTACCTGTTTGCCATTGTCTGTGTTGATGTTGCGCTCTATATTTTTTAATTTCTTTTAACGATCTTAATCTAGGTGTTAGTATATGTGTATGTGGGTATGTATACATCCATTTTTTTCTGGATAACAGATATATAATATCGGATAGTTTTCTGATATTTTTATATACGGAAGTTTATATGAATTTAAAATTTAGATTTAATTTGTAGACTGAATAGACGTACACTCATTAATCTCTCCGTGTCTCTTATTTTATTTCCTTTTAGTTTGACTACTAATATATTTTCCGTTTTAATTTTTTCATATTTTTAGCTTCTGTATTTTTTATTTTACTACTAATATGATTACTGTCGTCTGTTATGATTATAAGTATTTTATTATTATTATTTTATTGATTATTTTTATGCTTTATTTTTAGTATTTTTTTATTTTTATTTTTATTTTTATTTTTATCATTTTCATTTATATTATTACTATTATTGATACCATTATCTTCCTTATTTCTAATTTGTTTTTAAGTACTTATTAGATAAATCTTACCCCTTTTTATATGTATATATATATATGTATAAATATATATATAGATATATATATATATATATTTGTATATATGAGTGTGTGTATGTATATGTATATGTATGCATATATGTTTGTATGGTTATATGTATATGTGTACGTGGGCACATGTGTGTATGTACATGTGCGTGTATACATATGTGCATGTGCATATATATATATATATATATATATATATATATGTGTGTGTGTGTGTGTGTATGTGTGCGTGTGTGTGTATGTGTGTATATAGGTGTACGCGGAAATAAACTACGGTTTTTACTAGATTAAATATTTTTATATGTTTATGCTAATTTTTGTAATCTGTAAGGGAAAATTAAGTGTCTTTTTTTTAATTGTTCTTGATTACATATTATTTCTCTTTTAAATGCCCCTCTTTTCGTTTGGCCTTTTTCTTTCTTTCTTTCTTTCTTTCTTTCTTTCTTTCTTTCTTTTCCTCCCAAACTTTATTCCTTGTCTCTCTCTTCTTCTTTCTCATCTTCTCCTTTCATGCATACATAAGTTTAGTAAATGCAAACCAGACGACAAATTTTCATACATCGGCATCGTAAATTAGTTAGACGTTAGATTTGGATCGTCTAATGATTTTCCTCATTCATTGTATTTAATGTCACCACAAATGTATCCATTCTTTTCCGTTGTCTGTTTTTTTGTTTTTTTAATTTAGGTCAATGAATCGGAAGTCGATTTATGCAACTGTTAATAACACGTATTTGCCTGTATCTCACTCCTTAAAACCGTTATTTATCTTCTCTCTTTAAAATTTTATTCCTCACCCTTACTTTAGGCCATTTCCTGTTCTTCATATTTCTTTACACCACTCTATAGACCTTTTATACATTTCCCTCTCACCCTTGTCCTTCACTCCCACATATACACTATCACTGATTTGTTTTTTAACCCAGGGATATATTTTCTGTTTTCTTTTTGAATTTGTAGGTCTGATGAATTGGGGCGTGATTACGGATTCCAATGTAATAAATTATAACCATGAAATATTAGCCTTTTATATTTGATTCTTGCTCTATGTTTGACATAGAGCTCTACCTGGATTTTACGTTTTGGAAATAATATTATATATATATATATATATATATATATATATATATATATATATTGACCACTAACATTATCAATCTTGCTCGTGATGTAGTTTTGTCCAAGTTAAAGTCTATAGGTACGTGAATAAAGATTTTATATACGGATTAGCAAACTCTTCACCTGCTAACACCAATTAAGTCTGATTACCTGATTTCTAAACCTCTTACTACTTCTTAGTTATGTTGTTGGGTGGACTCGCCTGGGTCTTTGGCTTTGATCCATCGCAAACATGGGAGTTCAGAATCTTCCATCTATCCTTCAAGTTTGGAAAATAAAGAGAACATCGTTATTCCTTCGGAGGTCACGACATGTAAAAATAATTACGTGCGTCAAATGTTTGGTCCTAAAGTGTCCTGGATATCAACTTTTCATTCTGACAGATATCTGCCGTTTCGATGGCTAAAAAGTGTGGTCAAGCGAGAACTTTCTCTCACCTGAGAATATTTTAACACTTGACCCATCATTTTTCCGATACCTCAAGCACATCGACGCGGACTAATGGTTAGCAAGGTTGTATCGCTAGAACAATTGCAACTAAGTAGTGAGTTCGATCTTCACTTGATCTTCCCATACTTTCGACCTTGTGCCACATTTAAACTACACTTAAAAAATCAGCATTTTTAGGTACCACAAAATTTTTTGTAAATTTTAAATCTCCTGCTTTCCATGATGTCTACTTTTAACTCGTCAGTTATCATACACTTGGATGTTGCTGGTTCCTTTTCAATTTTGGGCTTAAAGTAATTAAAGAAGATCCGATTCCGGTTCTTGATAACCTCAGATCTTTTACGACTTGCATCTGAATGCCAATTCCTCTGACTTTATTTTCCTTGATATTATAGACAATGATTCAAGACGGATAGAATATATCGGCGATGCATTTAAGGTCAACTTTCATAACATTTATTATTTTTGTCAAGTCCTTTTTTCGCTATATTCTTGAAAAATTAAGTTTGTTTTTATAGCTGACTATATATTCTGTATTCTTAATTAATTTTCACATCATTTGGCACATTGGTTGGTGGTAGATTTTAGTTTAAATATTTCAGTACATTTTATAAATAAATCCTATATTAGTTATTGTAAATTTTATATCAAAATATATTTGCGTAAATGCAATTATTAGAAGTGTTTCAAATGAATATTTTGCAAATGTTCAAATACTTCTCTCACTCTGCATTGGATATCATTCATCATACATTTCTATGTTTGTTCCACATTTCTCGTGATTACTGACTTAATTCAACTGAAACATCAACCATCTTCGTTATTGTCTAAGTAAATACCGTCGTTTCTGTTGTTGAAGTAATTTCTTCCTTGGATTTATATTTCTTTCACTTTAGATTTCAATGTGTTTCGTACCAATTATTTTAACAAGATTCTAGCGTCTCCCGTAGTTGGAGGATGGGTTCCTGTCATTTATTTATGTTTATTTCCTTTTCACCATGTAGTCACCTTATTCAAAAATATTACGCCCATTCTTCCTACTTGAATATGGTGTCTAGTGCCCGTCTGAATAACAAAAATCAGAGTATTTTACTCTTATTTCCTTCAACAACTTCTAATTTAAGCTCATAGCATTTATTTATTTATTTGATCAAAGTTCGTTTGCACAGTACAGACTGTATGACTGCTCCTACCCTGTCATACATGTTTTTATATTCCCTTTGAAACAACTAACTTCATTCACTAATCATTACTATAAAATTTTAAAATATTTTATGTTCCCTCATAATACGTACTCTTCTGATTAACTTGTTTCTTCATTAGTAGATCAGTAAATATGACAGAATTTTTAAATTCAAATAAATGAATCATTTTTTTAACATTTTCCCCCGTGTTATTAGAAAACAAAAGATTAATCTGACGTCATATATTTTCAGGTTTGGACGGAAAATAACTCTAGTTTCTTGTGTTCTTATTCAAGGAAGCAGTTCTCTGGCGAGTTCACAAGTAAACAACGTTTATTTATTTCTCTTCATCCGTTTTTTATCGGCCGTCGGAGGAGCTGGAGGTTTTGGTGCGCTCCTTGTATATGGTAAGACATTTCAAATATTTCAAATTATACATTTTCAAATCATATTTACGGTCAGTGTGCTTCTAAAGTTCGCTCTTGTATCATTTTTCTCTATATATTTTTCTAAATTAAAAAATTCGTCTATTAGAGTGATAAGCAATATTCTACTATAAGTCTTTTCCGAAGTTAAGAACCCATTTTTAAAAAAAGCATTATGCAAAAAGATCGTGTGATCAGTTAGGCTCTTTTATTTTTATTTTTATTTTTTTATTTCACAAAAATGCACTTATGCCCTTTAAGAATCATACCGACAATATTCAGTTCGCAGTTAAGCGTGGCTTACGAGTATATCACGTTGAAACACCGGTTATCGTACGAACATTGAATTTAAGTGAAGTGAAGTTTAGCCTGGTCAATAAATAGACACTTTGTACATTATATTTCTGAGAGGTTATAATATCTTCGAGAGGAAATCCTTTTTGACAGATCTTGAAGATCATATTCTCCAGATCGTTTGTCGACTTAATGGTAATGTATTTCCAAACGGATTACACCTTAGCCTTTACTAGTGACTAATGATTCGTGTATGAATCTCTTTCATATTAACTTATCTCCATTCCTCCGCGACGACGGAACTAAAGTTTGCCTGAAATCTACTCCGCTGGCTTATTTATCATGTCAAATTTAGACTCAATCGGCTTATTTATTCTTACGTCCTAATACTTTGAGTAACAGTTTTGTAAAACTCACGATTTTTGGTTGTGGTGGGGGATGCTAAACAACATTTTGTATACTGCTTTCTAGTATGATATAGTATCGAAATTTATATGCGGATGAAAAAACATAAATTAACTTTGACGTTTGGGAATACCATGTTCTGTAAGTTTTGAAGTGCGGCTGTTTTAATAGATAAAGTCTCCGAATTAGATATATGAAACCAGAGTTTTCTTTGTGTTAATTAGTAGGATATAGGTTAATTAGTAGGACTAGTACCAACAAATCCTTATTAAACAACAAAAATTCTTAAAATCTAAAAATAGTTTTTAGCTTTAAATAACCTGCAAAATTTTATAATCCGTAAAAAAAATCAGTCAAACTATTAATCATACGGCGTCAATCAAGACATCCTTATAACTCATTCTCCAGTACAGTGGATTCGATCTTTCGGTGTCCTCCCCCACTATTTTGGCCTTGTGCCATTTCAAACTAACTTGATTAAATATCTACTGCTACCTCAATCTGCATGGAAAGACAAGGATTTTTCGTTGACCGAAAATGTTAGAAAAATAAAAAAAATGTTTGTTTCTTTTCTGGTCAGTATACTTTAGATCCATTTTGTTCTTGTGAAATATATTTACTTCGAAATATTCCAGAAACCGCAAATAGTACTGAAACTTATCTATAGTATATTATTTCCTATAAATGCAAACGCATGTTTATGATAAAATTTGTTTTTTTTTTATATTAAGCACAAAAAGCAATTAACATCAATTAATGATAAATTATTATTATTATAAGCATATTATTATTAAGCATAAGAAGATGCCGCATCATAAATGTGACTCTTTCTGGTGACCAGAATATGAAGCTCAAAAAATTAAAAAGCTCAACTATTACACTGACGTCCGGATAGGTGTTACCTGAATATGGGACGTTCAGGCCATTATTGTTCCAGTAATCATTTGATGGTTGGGTACAATACCACCGAACCTAAACATAATTAAATATCTCAACAATCCTGAGTATTGAAGCTGCGAATTCCTCTCCACAGAAAGATGTACACATCTGTTTTTCTAACGAACAATTCTATTCTGTATCTTTCAGTAACAGAAATTACATCCATGAAGTATCGATCCCGACCGTCACTGGCAATACAAATTGGGTTTCCTGTTGCTTTTATTTTGATTTCTCTGATCGCGTACTTCATAAGAGTCTGGAGATTGTTAATAATCATCATCTCAGTACCATTAATACCATTGGCATTATTAATCATGTGGTACGTATCCTATCAGAAGTTATAATTTACAACCTTCAGCAAATTCAATTAAAAGTCAGACAAGTAATTTTCTTTTGAAATGAAAATAAGGAAAATTATATTGCATTAATTTACTTTACATAAAAAGCAACAAATTTGAATTTGTTTCCATTTACAATAACTGTTTTATTTTTAGACATATTGATCTCAGTATGAAAATTAGAATTGCTAAAATTAATTCTTTTTTACTTACTTGAAAAAATATTAAATTTCCTCGAGACGGAAACATCCAAAAGAGAGTTCATTGAAGTTAATTATTTTCTTTTACACACGCAAACGCCCAATATATATATATATTGATTTAAAGAAAATGAATTTCTTTTGTATGACCAGACCATTTTTTTTTTTTTTTTTTTTTGCAGGACCTAGGTACCTTTCGGCCAACGCTTCATCAGGGTCTTTCGTTGGCAAATGATTTTAAACAAACAATGAAAATGAAAAGAACGCCAAAATGGTATGGTTGGAACACGTCTAAAATTTTACGAAGATATATATACGTAAAATTAAAATAAATTTACGATTAAAATAAATGCGTAAATAATGAATTAATAATAATGAACCAACCTAAGCAGTAAAATAGAAAAATAAGTTGCTCATATATCAAAAAATAAATTTAGCGATCGTGAAAAATTCTCCTTTTGTTTAGAAAGCGATGGTTTAAATAATTTGAGACAGATGGCTTCCAAAATAGACAGATGATATTTGGACCTGCCTACGCATATAATTGAAAACGAGTCCATTGTGAAACGTTTTGAGCATGACTCATTTTCTAATAGGTGTTGCCCGACCGC